AGGCCTTTTTTTGCCTGACTCACATTTGTCCCGCACTGTATGGAGAGAGCAAATGGCCCGAGGAGTCACATTCCCAGGAACCTGAAAGCTAGTGGAGAGATTTCTCTAAGAGAACCACTATCCTGGACAGAACGTAATCTTCCAGGCTGTTTATACAATGCCTGCCCCATGAGCAAGACCTGAGGCTCCTGATCCAGCTTAGGAGTCTGCTCAGTCTCTTCTATCTTCTCGTCATCACACAGGACCAGGTGTCTTGGGCCAGCAAGATGCTCGGAGCCTCCCAGAGGTGGCAGGGACGGGGAGGCCCCAGGAGCAGCTACAAGGGGGAGCGAGGGCCATGGATGAGGGAAGTCAGGAGAGCAGGAAGGAGAGGAGCCAGGTGAGTTAGCAAAGTGCTCGTCGGGCCAGGTGAGCTGTTTTGGTGTCCAGGCCTTCCCTCTCTTCCCTAGCACCTTTTCCTGCTTGGCTCCTCCAGCCACATCTCTGCTTCCCAGGGAGGAAGCAGGTTTGCAGTGGGCTGCGGGATTGCCAGGGCTGTGCTGAGTGAGACCTGTGGATTCTGTGAGGATCAGGCGGTAGGCACGAGGCAAGTCTTCCTGACCTCCGTGATCCTGGGACTGACGGAGGACCCAGCTCATTCGTCCAGTGAGCTTGTTAAGGACCTACTGTGTGTGAGTTGCTGGGGACATGAAGGAGAGGAGGAAGACACAGCCCCTGACCTTAGAGTTCTGGATTTTTAAGAGCCAGAAGGGGCCTTGAGGGAACATCCAATCAGGACATTGTGTATATGGGGAAACTGAGGCGCAGGTGGGAAATGGAGGCTCACACCCAGTAGTGGCTGGGGCCATCTGACCTTCAGCAGTCCTCGGGGGACTGGTATGTCCTTTCCAAGTGTGGGCCCCCTTGTGGGTGGGGAGCCTGCTTCATTGTGTTTTCTTGGAGGGTGTGGCAAGAAGGAGCCATTCCCTAGACCCTGGAAACGCTGTAAATCAGAGCACACACTGCCCTGCCCCCAGCCCTGTGGGATTCAGGTGGCTGCCATCTGGACTCCCTGTCTGACAGAGCGCCCGCCAGCTTCTGCCCGCGCCTAGAGGAGATAAAGCAGCCCTGACGGCCCAGCCCCAGGAGGCAGAGGCCCAGCGTGAAGGCTGCGAGCCTGGAGGCACAGACGGGCTCTAGTCCAGGCTCTGCCCTGAGGGTAAGAGCATTCATTCCACAGGCATGTTTTTGCTGAAAGTCAGAAGTGGCTGAGACTGATCTTAAGCAGCTGAAAGCCTCCAAGATTTCAGAACTCTATTTCCACCTCAGGTCTGTCAATAACACCTTGTTTTTAGGGGGTTAGGTTCCATG